ACCAATTAAATATGATTGGCCGAACTTATGAGTACAAGCTCACGTATAACTAACTGGTCTGCATAAAATAAAGAAAAAACAAACAGAGATTTTAAGAGGATTTTTTTTTTAATACAAATTTTCTAACTTTTGGGGCAATATTGTCCGATAAAGACTACATTTATATACATGCTTAACCCAGAATGATTTGACATTTAAATATGGCTTCCCTACGACTTTAAAGCTTCGGAGGTGACAAAAAATCTGACTGATGCCATTGGTGGAGCAACAACAACCAATCTCTTGGCACTGAAGTGCCAAATATTTAAAAACAAAAATGAAATTTATGCAAAGAAACAGTGAGGAAAGTCTTCTATACGCTATACTGTAGATCAGCTGAGATAAAGGAACAAAACAGAACCTGTCAACAGAGGTCAAAGTTAAAAAAGATTCCCCCATCTTGTATTTTTGAGTTGATTGAACTTTTTTTTTTTTTTTTAATAGTAAAACAACATCAACAATTACATGTCACTTGTTTCAAATTTCCCTTTCCTGCAATAATTTCTTACAAAAATCTAAATATGTTTTTTTCTGATTCCACAGAAAAAGCCATATTAAAACACATTAAGACACTTAGAGCACCAAGCAAGATGCAAAGTCGGACATGTTTGCCCTGAAGACTATCAGCTCTTTGGGGAGAGGGGCCATCGAGCAGTGTTATCGACATTATAGACGCCTCAGCCTGGAGATAGGCTTCACATCGATCCCCTGATTAATTACTATCTGCAGGCAGCAGCACTGTGAGGAAGGGGAGGGTGAGACAGGCAGGAGGACAGGAGGAAAAGTGAGAGAATGATAGGAAATGAGGGTAGGGTAAGAAAGGAGGGTGGATGAAGGATTGGAAGAGTCCAGCTTGTATTATCTATGAATATCAGCTAAAGGCTACACAGTAATCTTCGAGGTGGAATATTATTTATTGATACATGGGTAGGCTGGAAAGCTTATCTGAGCTGCAACCACCTCCTAACACTGCCAAGGACAAAATGAAATTTACACATTACTGGGGTGGAAACAACTTGCAAAGACGAAGTAGAGGACACTGAAGAATCCACCCCTGAATTCCCAGTTGGGTTAAACAGCCCTCTGGAAATAACAGTGAAAATAACAACATATGGAATACCGACATTTATCCAACCTCTGTTATGAGGCAGAACAGAGCTAACAAATATTGAACTCTAGACAAGGAGCCTAAGCTAAACGCTTCAGTGAATGTCTGTTTGTAAGAGAATAGAGCCCCAGTGTTAGTATTCCACTATGCTCTATGCTGAAGACTAAGATGCATGTTTGAATAACATGCAGGGAATCTTACTTTGTTGACACTGAAAGGATGCATTCATTTATAGGTCCTCCTATGTGTCAGTTAATGAGATAATATTCTACAAAATATAAAGATGAGTATCTCTGAGTAAAAGAAAATATTGGCTTTAATTTTATGCTAATATGAGGATAATATTGCAATATTTTTATATATATATATATATATATATATATATATATATATATATATATATATATATATATATATATATATATATATATATATATATATATATATATATATATATATACACTATATTGCCAAAAGTATTTGCTCACCTGCCTTGACTCACATATGAGCTTAAGTGACATCCCGTTCCTAATCCATAGGGTTCAATATGACGTCGGTCCACCCTTTGCAGCTAGAACAGCTTCAACTCTTCTGGGAAGGCTGTCCACAAGGTTTAGGAGTGTGTTTATGGGAATTTTTGACCATTCTTCCAGAAGCGCATTTGTGAGGTCGCACACTGATGTTGGACGAGAAGGCCTGGCTCTCAGTCTCCGCTCTAATTCATCCCAAAGGTGTTCTATCGGGTTGAGGTCAGGACTCTGTGCAGGCCAGTCAAGTTCATCCACACCAGACTCTGTCATCCATGTCTTTATGGACCTTGCTTTGTGCACTGGTGCACAGTCATGTTGGAAGAGGAAGGGGCCAGCTCCAAACTGTTCCCACAAAGTTGGGAGCATGGAATTGTCCAAAATGTCTTGGTATGCTGAAGCATTCAGAGTTCCTTTCACTGGAACTAAGGGGCCAAGCCCAGCTCCTGAAAAACAACCTCACACCATAATCCCCCCTCCACCAAACTTTACACTTGGCACAATGCAGTCAGACAAGTACCGTTCTCCTGGCAACCGCCAAACCCAGACCCGTCCATCAGATTGCCAGATGGAGAAGCGCGATTCGTCACTCCAGAGAACGCGTCTCCACTGCTCTAGAGTCCAGTGGCGGCGTGCTTTACACCACCGCATCCGACGCTTTGCATTGCACTTGGTGATGTATGGCTTGGATGCAGCTGCTCGACCATGGAAACCCATTCCATGAAGCTCTCTGCGCACTGTTCTTGAGCTAATCTGAAGGCCACATGAAGTTTGGAGGTCTGTAGTGATTGACTCTGCAGAAAGTTGGCGACCTCTTCGCACTATGCGCGTCAGCATCCGCTGACCCCGCTCCGTCAGTTTACGTGGCCTACCACTTCGTGGCTGAGTTGCTGTCGTTCCCAAACACTTCCATTTTCTTATAATACAGCTGACAGTTGACTGTGGAATATTTAGGAGCGAGGAAATTTCACGACTGGATTTGTTGCACAGGTGGCATCCTATCACAGTTCCACGCTGGAATTCACTGAGCTCCTGAGAGCGACCCATTCTTTCACAAATGTTTGTAAAAACAGTCTGCATGCCTAGGTGCTTGAATTTATACACCTGTGGCCATGGAAGTGATTGGAACACCTGATTCCAATAATTTGGATGGGTGAGCAAATACTTTTGGCAATATAGTGTATATATATATATAGAGGTTCTTAAAAAAGAAAATTTTTGTAAACCTATCAACATTCTGGACCACTTTGCTCTGAAGGGCATCATGAAAACAGCAGCTCGCCTCTGTAGAGATTCATTTAACGTCATCCAACTTTTTCAGGGTCTTAGCAGTTCAAAAGAAATCATTTAGAAATATTATCAGAATGCTTCTGTAACAGCGAATGTTTGTGGTAAATACTGAAAAATTTCTGTCAAAATACAGACATGCAATTTGCAGCAGTAATGCCCATCCCTGGTAGCACTATAAAATCATGAAATATTGTCTGACAAGATGATTCCCAACCTGCAACAGTTCGACAGACGGTAAACTTGCTGGCCTTTAAATGACTCCAACTATATTACCTAAATCATAGCGTTTATTTGGAAGAATATAACTGTGATCTGACAGAGCGTTTCACCAAACTAGAATCTAAAAGAACTTTCTTAGAATGATTTAAAAAGAAAGAGACACATACCTTTTATCAGACTAAACAAACAATGACAAGTGATCTCCTCTTGCAAACCAGATGCAGGGCCAGGGCGTTATGGCTTAAAAATCTAATCTAAAATCTAATCCCAAATCCAGTTATTCAGAAATCATAATAAATAGTACAAATTACATACATTTGTTTCAAATACTAGCTTTTGTTTCAGTGAAACTCTCCTTGAGGTGACCTTTGCTTAAAGGGAAGCGAAAATAAAGCTGATAATTTTTTTGTAAAGCAATGTTTCACAAAACTCAATGAAAATAAAACAAACATGTTTGCAGCTAGGCTAGGCTTAAGGCTGATCTATACTCAGAAACCATGTCGTCTGTGTGTGTGTCGCAGTTAAAGCAGATATGCCAAAATTGCAGGTGACCGCAGACAGTGCTGCAGACAGGAGGCCTCTGATTGGTCAAATCTACATCTGCTTTACTCTATGCGTACGGTATTTCCTGTTTGGTACCTTACCATCACGACTCGTGAAGATGGACCAGCTAGAAGTGCGAGGTGTGCGAGAACACTGGGACCCTTTTTCCACCTGGATCCCAGCTCTTTTTCGCCCTCATGTCCCTCCGTTGTCGCACAAACTTGCCCCCACTTCCTCACACCCACAGCTAGTTGCTAGCGTGGAATAACAAGCGCAGACCACGCTTCAATATTGGGCAAAAATCAAAAATATCTGCGACAAGCTCACTGCGACACACTACTGCAGGAGGATAACCAGCCCTTTAATCAGAAACGTATTTTCTGAACTAACCCTAACTATATGTGAATGCTTTACAGATATTTCACAGTTTACTACTAAGTCAAGTTGACTATAATTAGCTGCAGACAACATATGTGAGCCCAAAGATGCAGCTACAAACATATTCTTTGTAATTTTCTACAACTGAACCATGGCTACAAGTTATTGTGGTTATTCAGGACTGAACAATGGAAAAGAACTTCCCCAAAGTTAATATCTATTAATATTTTTTAAGTAATCCTATTTTGCATTGGAGTTAAAAAGCGGTTGTAGATTGAGTTCAAGATTCCACAGCTGGATATGCAGCAGAGCACTGATCCAATAAGTCCAAAATTAAACATTATCAAGACAAAAAGTTAAACAACTGAAGGTTTGGGAGTCATTTAGTCCATATTTAAACCCAGGTGGGATCCTATGAGATGATGTTCAGCTGTCTTTTTCTTTTCCAAACCTCCTTCCATGTGGCTGAATCAAAATAAATCTTAAAGGGAAAGAAGTTATCGCTAATGTCATTAGGGCAAGTGGGTAGCAGGTTTAATATAAAAAGGTGATTTTAAATGTCTTCTTAAAATCTATGATCAATAAAACTTGCAACAAATTGTGGCTTGTTCTGTTGCTTTCATCCATCCTCTTCTTTTATTGGACTCGCTCCAAGTGATAAAGTGAGACTTATACTCCAGAAACTTGGAGTAAAGAAAAAAATAAAGAGGGAACAAAAGGAGAAGAAAGTAGGAAAGAGCTCAGAGTTCTGTCACAGATGTGAGGAGAAACAGAAGAGAACAAGAGGAAACATCTCTGCTTGTTAATAAGGTGACCGGCTCTTTCTATCGTGCTGCACTACAATAGGTAAATTGTCTGTTTGTGTGAGAGCTGCGCACTTTTCCATTCTCACTGACCTGAAAAGTTCTGTCAATGCTGGATCCACAGGCACTGAGGAGAAAGCAGAGAGACGGAGAGAATCATTATGAAACGGCACCGACTCGCAAGCCGTAACACATGAAAAAGGTAAACCGGCTGAAATGTTGAACTCTGTGACTTCTTGTCTGCGTGGGTTTGCCATAAAATAAATTAGCGGTGAAACACTTAAAGCTGAAAAATATTTGGGAATTAGTTAGTCAACATCTGATAAACAATACCTTATTTTAATATCAAAAAATTATGTTTTCATTTTTATCCTCTCTTCAGACAGATATATCCATAGTCTTTGACTTTCTTTGCATCGCTTGAATTAATTTTACATGTATTAGCAAGTATTACTGATTAAAAAACTAAATAATTAAAATGATATATAATTAAAATATCATTAGAAGAAGAAGCTAATTATACTATGTGAATTATTGCTTAAAAAAGAAAACAGGTTTAAGCTTAACCTGGTGGGTTACATAAAAGCACAAGATCCTGGATTATAAACAAGTAATTTGATTTAATGCAACTCATCCAGCAACAGATTTAATACCAGGTTGAGGCTGCACAAATACCTAATTTGAACATTAGTCACTCCAAAATCTCTGCAAACCTTTGACTGAGACCTGTAAAGACAAAGTTTAGGCAGTTTTTTTTTTTTTTAGCACATTTATATATCTTACACATTAAAAAAGTGTTATTGAAAACTGTTGCTGTGCAATGAATACCAGATGCCTCCAGAATATCCTGGGGGGGTAGAGATCAGTCTGCATTCATAATCAGGGATATTTATTTTAGCATGAATCATAATTTCTAAGAACTGCCAGACATTTTTGTCCTGGCAGCAGTACAGGGGCGGATCTAGAAAAATATTTATGGGGTGGCGAGAGGGGGGCAGGAAGTTTTGAGGGGTGGCAACATATGGCATTTGTTTACACTGAATTTAATCACAGTTATCACAGTTTGGTGAGAATAGTATGTACAGTATGTGTTTCATGTGAAACAGTTCATATTAGAAATACATCGTACAATGTGATCTCACCTAATAGGAGATAGAAGAATGATAACACTACTTCTAGAGGGGCATTATCACAGGAAAGGTATTAAGGTAAGACACAGGTGCTGAGTCGCAGATGTATGAGATTGACTGTCAGAGAGGCAGCTTTGCAGCATTTGCACAAGAAGAAACTATAGAAAGAAAAAGTTTCCCATCAGAGATCTATGGACTGAGCTGGACTAAAGTGAGCAGAACTACACAGTAGAAATAAAAGGGTCAAGGCACCCAAACAAGGTACTGGACATCTATGTATTGTTTACTCTGAACACAGATTTACCCCATTTGTTCCTCAGTAACTTGACATACAGTAGTTAAGGCAACATGAAATAGACATTTTATGTGTGTAAATATGCTGTAGATAGAGCTCTTGTATCAATAAATCAACAAAAAGGCAGGTACTGGATGTTACATCAAAATCTCCACAAATCTGAAAAGAAGCAACATAAAAATAAATTTTGCTTCCAATCTGTAAAAGTACAAAACATTTAGTGAGTAGGTTCATACCGGTAATTTCTGGATAGTTTCATACTATATATACAAAAAAAAAGAAACAACAACACTGCTTCGTATTAAGCAGGATTTACACCAGTATCACATTTTTAAATTTACTTTTAACACTTTTGGTTTTCATTAAAGGAAATATCAGATTTTTTCAGGTGCCAAAACAAAATGTAGCAGCTCTGTAAAGGCTCACCAGAGAGCATAACATAAAGATGACATGACTATAACAGCTGAATGCGGTGATTTCCACATTGCTTAGCAAAACACTTCACAAATTTATTTAGATCCAATGCCTTTTTGCGTTTTGATTTGAGTAAAACCAAACTTGATCGTCTCTTTTCTGTCATTGTTGACCGCAAATATGTCTTTATGAGCCTGAAACGTCAGGCCTAACTAACATCATAGTTAGAGAAATAACGTTCTGCAACTTGATTTTTATCATCTCAAAATCAGCCTTGCAGCTGTGCTAGCATCATTGTGCTTTCATTATGATTTACTTTCTCGATAGATAGTTAATCAGTTTTTACCTGTTTCATCCCGTGTCTCCTCTCCCCATCACCCCTGGCTCCCTCGCTTTTGCCCCATTCGGTTTTCAAAACTAATCAGTCTCAGTCGCTCTCGCGTCATCTCGTGCTGCATTCACTGCAGTCCGACATTGGAAATTAGCGGTCGCAATTCTCAAATTATCCATAATTTATAAGCCTCGCCACCCCTACCGCCAACTGGGGTGGCAGCAGGGGTGGCAAGGCTGTCATTTAGGGTGGCAGTTGCCACCCTATGCCACCCCAGTAGATCCGCCTATGCAGCAGTATTATCTCTTTATGTTATTTTTAAAATAAATATGAGTCTGCCTTGTAAAGATAGACATAATGCTGTTCTTAGCGTGTGTCTGGAACATTTACGGGAAATACAACATGGCTTTTAAAGTGATAGGGTTGTAATCATGAAATCAATCCCTGCCTGTTACAGTTTTTATAATTATTGACACATAAGGCTAATTAAATCTATAATTAAATATTTAAAAATGAGTAGAATATAAAGTTTAATTTGACTTCTGGATAACAAGGGGTGCAATTTGAGCTTAATTGTACATTCAAAGTTTTGATTATGTTTAGTCAACATTCTTACTAAAAGTAAATTTCAGGGGATATCAGTATAATTTCAGATTGAGACGTTTAACAAATGACAAGATTTAACATTTTAAGATGAAGAAACTATCAAACCTGTCACCTGAGCGTCGCCGTACCGCTAATCTGGGCCGGGATTGCTTCAAATTCATCAACGCTGATGTGTTCAAAGGCAGAGGTGTCAAAGGTATTAATGTTTATTACCGTATTTTCCAGACTATAAGCCGCTACTTTTTTCCCCACTCCTTGAACCATGCGGCTTGATAGTGCTAGCAGCAGACATGACGAAGAATAAATTTCCCAAATTCACACATTTTGACATTTATTTGTTGCATTAAAGCTAGCAAACCAATCAAGAGATAAATCCTGCAGAGCTGAAATAAAGAGCTGATAAAGCCCCATCTTTCAGTAGAAGCTCTGGTCACTACCCGATCCGTCCCAGAAGCACGATCCATTCTACAAGATATACGTCCCTTATTTTGTTAAAAAGATCTAAATTACGTTTTCCCTCCCCCAAAAATAGTAAACGTACTAAACTCTAATGTGTTAAAGGTTAATAATTTATTTCCTGAGAAAATAAATGCCTTAAAATCCTTTCTGTTTCCAATCTGCACCGGAAATGGGATCCTATGCTACTTCCGGGAGCAAACTTTTTTGGCTTTGCATTTAAAGATGAATCTAGTCTTTTTGAGTTTTATATTTTCCTTTCATGTTAACCTTATGGTATATAGTGTGTAATCTAAAGAAAGAAACAACTAAAATGCGGATAAACATGGTTTAATCATTTTGCTGGACTGCTCTAAGCATGTCCCATGATGACGTCAGAGAAGCAGTTTAACGTAGGAAATGTAAAAGGCATCAAAAGTGTATCAGAAAAGTCAGAAAGCTTTTTCAAAAGATGTGTTTTAGCATTCTTTAGTGAGTTAAGGATAGAAATAAATTATTTCAGATTTTAGTACCATAATTACAATATAGAAACCCGGAGTTAAGGATAGAAATAAATTATTTTAGATTTTAGTACCATAATTACAATATAGAAACCCGGATATATATCTGTTCTCTGATGCACAGAATGGATAATACTTCTGGGATGGATATATATGTACATTTCCTGGTTTTTCAAAAATTGTGTGGAAAAATCTAGAAAATACAGTAGTCAAGTAGAAGTAGAAATCTTACTGTTTAAAAACACTTTTGTAGAAATTAGAGTATCAACTTAAAGATATTACTCGAGTAAGGGTACAATTTTTAAAACTATTTAGAGTATAAAAGTAAAAGTAAAGCAGGAAAAAAATTACAGATATTTTACAGCACAAGTCTATTAAAGAAATATTTTCCTACAATTCTGGATGATAATTTTCTTAAAGTTAGTTTTATAACTAATGGGAATTTTGTCAAATTTTCCTTTGCATCATCTTGAAAAACTATTTATTTTGGTATGTATTGCACAACAAGTTGGTGCAGCACCGAGTCCAACCAGAAATAAATTGTCTGGATATAGCAAATTATTTTAATGTTATTTATTATTTTCTTTAGTACCAACAAGCTATAACCAAAATGAGCTTAAATGAAACAAAACTAGCGACTCTATTTTCAAAATGTAGAAAGTAGAGATAATTGCAAAAACTATATAACAACATTGTATAAAAAATAATTACTCCAGTAAAGGATAGATAGCCCAAATTTCTATTTAAGTAAGGTAATGATATATTTGTAATTTTGAATTTATTCTCAATTATTCCAATATTACAACACTTTTTTATAATACGAGATACCTTTGCAGTAAGAGCAGAACTTTAACACTGATGTTTTTTTTTTATATAATAGTAGTTTTTAGGAAAAACATCTGTTCTGCTTTTAGGATTTACGCTTATCCATTTTTTTCTCGCTAAGGATACTTTAAACTTCAATAAATAAGTCATAAAACATAAAAAAAGGCTTTTTCACATTTCATTTAATGCAGTTAAGAAACACAAACATACATAACTTAAGAGGGCCATGAATTTCTGCGCTGATTTGAGAGTTACTTCATAAATAAAAGCTCTGTTTTTTTGATTTGCAGTCCATGTCACTATGATTGCCACCAATGTTTTATTCTGAACAAGGCTTTTAGAAGGTGGATTTCTGTTGCTGCTGGTAAAGGCGAAGGTGGAGTGAGCAGGTAGAGAAAGCAACTGGAGTGTAACTGCTCAGGATGGGTGTGTATGCTTGTGTCTGCATATGTATGTGTTTGTGTTGGGGGAGTGAAGGTCACCCTGAATGGAGGTGTGCGTTTCTGTGTGTATCTGTGCAGATACCTTTGGAGCGTGTGCGATGGCGCTTATCGTCTGCATCCACCTCCATCTGCAGGAAAGGCACAAACAAGCTGTTCAACACAACAGACAGCGTGGTGAAATTATCTTTAATTTGGATACATGTTCTCTCAGGTTCAGAGCGCTACTTCCACCCTGTCAGACGTTTTAGTTGCCACCTGATGTGCCAGGTGTCATGTAGATGACTGATGGGCAGCATTAGTGTGAATGATTAAAGTGATTTGGAGACTGCACACTCAATTCCTCTTTTATTTTCTTACAGGACAGATGTAACCACAAATTGTTTTTGTGAACCAGTTTATAATATATAACATCCAGGCTACAGTTTACCAATTCAGCTACGTTTATATGAAATAAAAAGGTAAAAAACCTGTTTTAAATATGAAAATTTTCCAGAATAAGACAATTAATTTAACCCCTTTTTAACTTTCTTTAACAGGAATTCTGACTGTATGCTCATTCATCTCTTTTTTTAATCAAAACGAGGGCTGAAACAATTAATCAGTTTAATTGCAATTAATCAATTATTGAAATAATCATCAACTAGTAATAATAATCAATTAATCATTAACTGGAGTATAGAGACTGTAAAACATGCCTTTAGCTGACAGAGTGATCCACTTAGAGCAGAGGTCTTCAACAGGGGGTCCGCGACCCCTAGGGGGTCCGCAGAGGTACTGCATGGGGGTCGTGAAAGTTTTTTCCACAAATTGAAATGTCTTTAAATACATATTAACATGAATTCAAGACACTGATGTAAACATATAAATGGAGGCAGAAGATGTCTTTCAGTTATCAATGCCCACATTCAGCGACACACAGGAGCTCTTTCAAGCTGGGCACCGTTTCATTCACAACACCTGTCCCATCAACCAGGAATCAGAATCAGAAATACTTTAATAATCCCAGGGAGAAATTACTTTTGTTACATTACTCCATCTGTAATAGAGTGACTATAGGAGCAGTTTGATATAAAACAATTTCATACATGTATGATTAGGGGTCCCCGCTCCATCTCGCCCTTGGTTTGGGGGTCCTTGGCCTGGAAAACCTTGAAGACCCCTGACTTAGAGCAATAATTATACCAAAAAATGGTAAAAATGTATGAACATCTTGCATTTAAGATAAAAAAATATATATATTTTACATTTGTCAATCAGCTCTATGTATAATTTTTAGTTTTATCTTGTTTTAATTCGTAAAAATTCTTCTTTAAGGAACCTTTTGCTATCCAATTATTAGTCGATCAATCGAAAAAAATAATCAACATATTAATTATTTAGCAAAATAATCATTAATTGCATCCGTAATCAAAACTTTGTTTGATTATCTACAAATCACAGATTTTTAAAAAGAAATTGAATCTCCTATTATATTAAAAAGGGGTTCAGAGGTTGTGTATGAGTCAGTGTAAAAATGCTCCCTTGGAATCACCAATTGCACTAAGTGCAGAACATCTCTCTTCCACTCAAAAAGTGTCTTCTCTCCTAAAAGTCAATAAATTATTCCCCAAGTATCTGTGGTGTCATTAGGAAGATTCACTCTTCCTGATCGACAAGCCAGCCTTCTTTTAAATATACTTCTCCAATTAAGTAGATCGACCTCCTGCATCCCAGTGGAGAACTTTTGGATATAACTGGTCAAAAACGAGCAAAACAAGCGATTGATTTTCTCTCTCGGCGGGTGGGTGGCAGAAGGGTGATCTGGGGATCTTTTGCCGCTAACAAATAAATCATGGATGTATTCTGAAGAGTGCTTCAACACAAACTCACTTTTAGCACATTTATTTTTATTATGAATCCTTTTGGGTTATCGACATCTGTCCGTGATGAAAAATTATGATTGTTTTAAATGTCCCAATCAGAAAAACACTCTTAACAGGGGGTGTTGTTGGCCCCTTCTTATTGGGGTGCGGTTACTAGATGTCACTACATCCACGACACGAAAACGATGAACTTGTTTTTCTTAGCTTTTACTTCAAAATAGCTTGTTTAATTTTAACTGAAAGCTCTAAAGCGATTTTGGTAAACATGTACAGGGTTTATACAGGAATGGGTTAATGAGTAACTAAAATTTTATGCTTTATAATGCTCTTTTATTTTGTCTTAGAAATAATTTTAATGCCATCATATATATATATATATATATATATATATATATATATATATATATATATATATATATATATATATATATATATATATATATATATATATATATATACACATTGTGTTGAAATGAGCATTTTCCCATTATCTAGGTTTGAAATTGCTTAGAAATAGTTTTTATAAATTTATATATAAATAAAGCATTTTAAATGCCACAATAATCACATTTAATTAATGGTAATGCCAATTAAGGCCTTCAAAAAAGAAAAAATGATTTAATGAGTTTTAAAGATTTAATGACCCCCGGAAACCCTGATGTATTTTTACTGATAATTTGATAAATTCTGTTTTCCTTAAAATCTTATGAGAGATATTGAAATGATTAAAATACCAGGGGGTGGATTATTTTTCTTGGAAATGACTCAAAATCATTATAAATTACACCGACTATTTTTGCCAGAACCAATAAACTGACTAACATAGGCTTTCTCACAAATTTACACTCTTAACCCTTTTCCCAAAAGGCTCCTTCATAAGTTTAATGAATATTTAAATTTTTCCTGAAATAGTGCAGGAAATTAATATTCAGATTCATATTATGCATGTTTATTCTTGTGTGCAAATAATCATGATCACAATAATTAAAATATTTAGAGATTTTAGGGATTTTACAAAAAAAAGACAGAATTATGCCAAACAATATTTTCTTTTTCAAGCGTTTTACATGCCAGTCATCATTTTCATGAATTTTTGTATGGTTGCCAGACCAACACATCTTTAAGTATGAGCCTATCACATCAGTAACAGATCATAAATTGTGGAGAAACCTGAGCGCCTCTGAACATTCTTCTGTTATTCCCAGATGCCTCTAAATATTCATGCTTGTAAGGGATGGACGATGTCTTGTTTTATCAAACTTGATTTATTAACACAATTTTTGCTTTACAGTAGAGCTTCTCAGTCTTAATGGTGGGTGTCTTTATGCATCCCTGTAAATGTTTCGACATAAAAAAAATAGAAAGGGGAATCAGGAAGATAACAGGAAGAAAGACAGGATTTTTGTCGATTAGAAGTGACTTGTGAGAGAGGAGGTGAAAGACAAAAACTCTGCACTACGCAATGCTAAAAGTGCTAATAATTTAGATTGCAATCATTAAAAAATATCATTAAATAAATGAAACCTTGCATGGCTTTCAACACATCCATTGGTTAAAGTAAATACATAAAATAGTGATGTCTTTGTCTATGATAACTTGATTATTTCACAGGTCACTCAAATCATTCTTGAGGCTCTTTTTTAATAAAATTGTGTCAGGTTATTAAGGTTTTACGGTATTTGTTTTCTTCATAACATTTCAGTTAGTTTCAGTGATGGGACTAACGGCGTTGAAACTAACGGCGTTACTAACGCCGTTACCTTGTTTTAGTAATGAGTAATCTAACTAATTACTTTGACTGTAACTATAACGCAGTTACCATTGCAGACACCCCGTTACTGCGCGTTACTCAGGTCGCACAATGAACCTTTTTTCATGATGGGACTCGTGCGCAGCTGCGTGAAGCTGACACCCCACCCACGTCAAAAAACTCTGCAAATAGACTGAATGGTTAGTGCAACGTTAGTGCAGATTTGTGCAGAAAAAAATATTGTTTGTGCTACTTTTGTTTAAGAGATATTAAAGATATTTTTTTAGGTCATCCAGAGGTGCGCGCCTTGTCATGAGAGAGGGGAGGATGAGATTCCGTCTGTCAGTTGAATAGGTGGGTGTTTCTGCTGGTGGGTGTTAACGTACAGCACACACAGAGAGATGGAGAGTGAGGATGACTCCAGCAGCAAAACAGCGTTTTCCACATGGAAATACCGGTGTTACGTCGCGCTGCGTTTCCCCATCACATACGGTTTCCTCTGCATCTCCACACAGCGCAGGCGGCAAGAGTCACCGCGCAAGCGACAGGAAACGCGCATGCTCGCTAAAGGCGCGCAACAGTCGCCCTGTGCTCGCGCCACAGGAGAACTATGGAGAGCGTGAACGATCAAATGAAAGGGAGAAATCTGGATGGATGGATGGATGGATAGATGGATGGATGGATGGATGGATGGATGCTCTGCCTTCTCAACCTACTGTATTTTTTATTTTAAACATTATTTGATGGCCTTTGTGGCAGGGATGGAGATCCATATTTTATGTCACACACAGAGTATACATCTAGATAGATAGATGGATAGATAGATGTTGCAGTATCTATAACAACCCAAACACACAGGATTTCAGAATGAGACATCCCCAGTTATTAATTTCATATACTCACCAGATCTGAATGTCCTGTTAAAAACCTTCCCATGGCGTTCCCCCCTGATGTCATTTACGTTGAGTTGCAATAAATGCTAAACTCTCTGCAGGTTCTTGTCTTTGTCGTCCGCTCTATTCAGCTGGCTTTGGAAACACACGGCGAGAAGGTGGGGGCTGGGTGGGGAGGGTTACGGGGGCGAGAAACGCAAAAGTAACGCAATAGTTACTTTTACTAGTAACTAGTTACTTTTATTGTGGAGTAACTCAGTTAGTAACTCAGTTACTTTTTGGGAGAAGTAACTAGTAACTATAACTAATTACTTTTTCAAAGTAACGTGCCCAACACTGGTTAGTTTAAAGAAACATCATGTTATATCTTTACAATAGCCTTTTTATTAAACCTTTTATGATTAAAGCATTGTTTGATGAGCAGACTGACACCTCAGTAGTTCAGTGCCGATGCATCTATAAATCTGTAGCAGCCATTAAAAATGACCCTTCCCAGTCAAAAGCCAGCCGAATAGCAGCTCACTTCCCTGTGACTCCCTGGCAAATCCCCTCCAAGATCCAGCCACTGGAGTGACCCCCCTCTTGCAAATTTCTTTTTTTTTACTCTGGCTCCACTCTTTCACTGAATTACAGGGTCTGACCAGGAGAAGGTCCTTCTTTTTAGATCTTAATGTCCACAAATCA